GGGACTACAGGTGTGTGCCACCACGCCTGGCCCATTTTTGTATTTTTAGTAGAGACTGGGTTTCACCATATTGGCCAAGCCAATAAAGTGAACTCCTGACCTCGTAATTTGCCTGCCTCGGCCTCCCAAAGTGCTGGGATTACAGGCATGAGCCACTGCCCCTGGTCAATAATATGGACATTTTAAACTAAATTACAGAAAGCTTTTTCCTCCGAAATTTCACCTCAGGGATTCTGAATTAAATCTCATTCTGACATTGTTTTAAATGACCAGATACAGATTATCATCAGATTACCATGTGGCTGGAATAACACTGACATAGAAATAATTGTTTTTTGACAAGTAGGCTGGCAGTTTCCTGATTTAGACTTACAAATTCAATGTCAGCGGGTCGCCCATAACCCCCTCCCCCGGCCCTCAATGAAGATTCCAACTCCTGAGATTCCAACTTCTTGAAGCTTATTGACTTTAATAGTGAGTAACCAAGGGTGTCTGACAAAGACTCTCCTATTGCCTTTCCAACATTATAGCGCCCGTGTCATATAGAACCATCTTTAGTTGCAAATGAGACTATAGGGTGAAGTGAACGTTCTTAATTTTTTAATACTGTAAAAATGAAGGAACAGAGTAACAAAGTCTTATGAAATAAAAAAAAATCCGGCTGGGTACAGTGGCTCACGCCTGTAATCCCAGCACTTTGGAAGGCCAAGGTGGGCGATCACTTGAGGTCAGGAGCTCAAGACCAGCCTGGCCAACATGGTGAAACCTCGTCTCTAGTAAAAATACAAAAATTAGCCAGGTGTGGTGGCAGGCATCTGTAATAGGAGGCTGAGACAGGAGAATCACTTGAACCCAGGAGGTACAGGTTGCAATGAGCCGAGATCATGCCATTACACTCCAGCCTGGGCGACAAGAACAAAACTCCATCTATAAATAAATAATCTCTCTCAGGAGATCTACAACACGTAAGTGAGCAATGCATTCTCTAGGCAGACTGCGCCCTGGGAAGGTTCTGTTCCGGCTGCAGGACAGCTAGCTCCCAGCTGTGAGAAAGCAGGTACACATGGACAGCAGTTGCCCGGCAAAGACGGATGAGCAGGGCAGTGAAGATTTGCATGGGTTCGCGAATTCCAGAAGTATTCATGGAAAACACCTGTGCGTTGGGCACTCTTCTAGGTGCTGGGGATATAGCACTGAACAGAACAGACACAAATGCCTGCTTTCTTGGAGACTTTGTTCAGTGGGGGATACAGAGAGTGAATCGGTAAGAATGTGGGGTGTGGGACAGTAGCCTGTGCTCAGGAGGGAATCTCAGGAGGGAAGGGAGGGGGCTCTAGGGTGTATGGATGGCAGTTTTAGCTGAGGTGTTCAGGAAAGGCCTCAAGGGAGGCAACATTTGAACAAAGGCCCACAGGAGATGGTGGGTAACGATGAGGTTATCTCTCAGGGACAAAGACCACCAAGGCTGGGGCATGTCTGGGGCGCTGGGGGACATGGGGCAAGAGAACCAAGAGGAGGAGGAAGAAGGGTCAGAGACGTATCGACGGCCCAGGTGCCGTGGGCCTGAGAGTTGTTTTTTTTTTTTTTTTCAAAGATGGGGTTTCACCATGATGGCCAGGCTGGTCTTGAACTCCTGACCTCAGGTGATCCACCCACCTTGGCCTCCCAAAGTGCTAGGATTGCAGGCGTGAGCCACTGTGCCCGGCCAGGCCTTAGAGTCTTATATGGCCTTGGATTTAATTTCAGTGAGAGAGGAAGCTCCACTGGAGAGTTTGGAGCTGAGGAATCCTGCGATCAATCATATTTGAATGGAGTCGTTTGGCTTGAGTTGAGGCGACCGCAGCAGGCAAAGGAGGAAGCGTGTGAGCAGCCAGGAGGATCGTGGGAGCCAGGGAGAGGGTGAGCAGGGGGTGGATTCTGGACACATTCTGAAGGTGGAACTGACAGAATTTGCTGAAGACTGAAAGTGGGAGTGAGAGAAGAAAGAGAAGTTGAAGATGACTATATAGAATATATATTAAGATATTTTATCATATATATATATATATACACATGTTTTGTCAGAGCAACTTGAAGAATAAAGTTATTTGCAAAAAAAGCCCAGAGGAGCAGGGGTTTTTTGAGAGGGATCAGGGGAGGGGTCGATAGAAATGGCTATCAGGCTAGGTGTGGTGGTGGCTCACGCCTGTAACCCCAACACTTTGGGAGGCTGAGGCAGGAGGATCACTTAAGGCCAGGAGCTGGAGACCAGACTAGGCAGCATAATGAGATATTTCTCTACAGAAACATTGTTATTATATTTACACGTCTTTTAAATAGAGACGGGGTTTCACCGTGTTGCCCAGGCTGGTCAAAGCTTTTGGGCTCAAGCAACCCACCTTCCTCAACCTCCCAAAGTGCTGGGATTACAGGCGTGAGCGACTACACCTGGCCTAAATGTTTTAATGTACAAAAATTAAACTAAACCTAGAAATGGATATCAGGAGTTTGGGCACTGTAGGCTTCGGAGGAGTGTTAGACACCGAGTGGAAAGTCGGCAGCAGGGAGTCTGCAGCTGGAGTTCAGTGGGGGCCTGGGAGCGAGGTGTGAATTGCAGTCATCAGCATGGAGACGGTATTGAAAGCCATCAGACCAATGACGTTGATGAGGGAATCAAGGAATCTGCAGCCCTGGATTAGGGAACGATAAAGGGAGGGGCCGGAGAGTGAAGGAGACCAAGAAAGGGGCTGCCAGGAGAATCAGGCGGCGGCAGGCGAGCGTGCTGTGGCATCCCGGGGCCGAGCTTCCTCCAGGAAGAGGAGGAGACAGCTGGTCGGATGCCCACGGAAAGTCAGGGAGAACCAGGCCTGGGAATTGGCCATCGGAATCAACAACACAGAGGACCTTGGTGACCCCGAGTGGACCAGATGAACGGATGAGTGACCCCAAATAGAGAGGCAGAGGAAAGGCTCCCGCGCGCTGGGCTGTTGCCTTGGATGAGTCTGCGGCAGCCTTTGCTGCGCTCAGCCTGGCTCCTGAGACACAGCTGCACCTGCGCAGACTGAGGCTGCTGCGGCATGTGGTGTCTCAGTCCGGGCCACGTGGTAGGCTTGTCATTGGCCCTGCAGGGGACTGACCCAGAGAGCTCTGCCGGTGCCCACCAGGTCACCTCTCTGGAATACGCAGAGGCAGGCTGGCAGCAATGGAATCTGACTTTGCCGAGAGGCTGCGCAGGAGAGGTCATGAAGTAGGAGGGCCACGAGGGACCAGGGCAGGATGAGGCTTCCCGTGGCCAGGAGGCGTAGTCGGTGACACGCAGATCACAGTGCAGCAGCTGCCTCGGGGCAGGAGAAGTGAGAAGCATCACAAGAAAAAGAGATAGAGACAGGGTGACGTCACGTGAATGGTGGGACACTAGAGTCGTTAGTTTCCAGAACCACCCGCCAGCCCCAGACCCTCCAGACTCCTCCAGATCCTTGCTCCCCCGTGGCCATGAGTCTGCACTTGAAAGCCCCAGTACTTGAGCTGAACTCGAGGGCAAGGAAAACACCTGAACGCCACAGCTGCCACTATTTTACTAATGCAGAGCGTGATCTGGGCATGATGTGGTCACAGAGTCCTGAATTAAAGCAAAAGAACATAAACAAAACAGTGAGCGCCTCAGGATGACTTGGGACCACGGAGAAGGCGTCAGGATTGATTCATAGTGTGATCACTAAACGTGGGCTTCCTGATTGTCTAATAGGAAAGGCGTCAGCGTCTCACTGACCTTCCTTCCTGGCTTGCCTGATCATGTGATGAAGTGATGAGAATGACCGGAAGGCCAGCTGTTCACAGTGACGTTATGGAACAATTTTTTGCTCTTTTAGAGAGACGAGGTAGATGTCACCCTCAAACTGTGAGCCCTGAGTGAGCCAGGGCCTTGGATCCCTGAGGGTTAGTGACTGGGTAGCAGGCAGTTTTTTTTTCTTTTTTTTTTTTTT